GTATTCTGAAAGTATAAAGTTCGCTGCTTTGGTTTTCCAGTTTAATGATTCACAGCAATATAATCAAATAAGGCAGTAATACTGATGTATCTTGACAATCGAACCATGATATGTAAGTCTGCAATCTAATATTCCTTTCCTTATTCAGTTGCGTGTGAATAAGTGTGTGTATATTGTCCACACACTGCTCTCACACATGAGGACATGTATGTACCAACAGTATCAATGATTATATGTTCATTTGGAATTCTGTTCTTGTTTCAAGCATAAATAACTTTAGGCACAACTCACGATACGAAAATGTCTTGTACTTGCATTGAGATATTTATTGTATCCATATTCAAATTACACCATCCATCCATGCATATTTATTATAGTAGAGCATTATGAAATTGTTGACCCGAAGTATGAAACAGGAAAATGAGATTTAATAGATTGTGAATTTCTTAATAATATTTTCACAGATTATTATGACTACGCTTAAGTTGTGTTTTCATCCTTGCCCAGAGAAATTACTACACTCACCATGTTTACCATACCACATATCACATGAAAGCATTGACATATGTCCATAATACTCATCATTTAATGCTCGGTCATACTCACTGGTAGCAATAGTGTGCATATATCATTATGATAATCATTACTTGTATCTATAAATCATATTTGAAATTTGACAGTACATAGAATACATTTCAGTCTCTTAATAGCAAGTAATACATCACATCAAAGTTGAAAAATAATTACATGATATGCAAATTTCTGCATCTTGAAACTATCATGCCCATATATGGGTACAGACTAAGGAATGTATGAGGTTCACAGGAGTCATTTGAAGGTCAGAGGTCAATCCTGACCAATCAAAGCTGAGGATAAAATTGTGTCCTTGATGCATTGCCATCCTGAAGGACAAAGGTGCAAGGTATCTTTGCATGGCTTGAATATGAATGATGCTTCTAGGATATAATACGCACGTGAACAGCATGTATTATCTAACAATGATCATGCTATAATGAGCCATGAAATGTGTCATGATTCGAACATACACATATAAGGGTGCTCCTCAAGAGAGAACAATGGTTCATAAAGAGAAAAAGGGTTAAAGCAAATACCATAGGACATACAACTATTTATTCATGTTTTTTCAATAATCATACATCAGTGCGTATTGAGTGTTAATACTAATTTCCTAAAGTCTACTTTGACCTGTGCCTTTTTTTCTTGGAAACAATAAGCTGATGTTGTACCAATGCTCAGAACACTTTTTTCCTTTTTAGCAATTTGTAAAGAGATAGAAGCAGGCCAGTATTTTAAATTTTCAGATTTTTTAAACTTCCAGATTAGCACTGCTATGAAAGAATATAAACCAAACAAGTTTTAACTTGGCAAGATACTGAGAAATAACTGATTGAATTTGTTTTGGTGGCACATTACCATTTCATATGAACAGCAATGATAAAATTGTGTTTGGTTTATTTTATTTTCACCTAACTGTAAGATATTAGTCTTCTTTTTTCTTCTAATTTCAGTCTTTGTTTGTTTTGGCAGCCAATCAGATAAACCGATGGGAATAAAATGTAAAGCCTAATCAAGAAATAGATCTTTAGTTTAAGGTATAAATTATAGGATAAAATTTAGAAGTATAATTGTGGAGAAAGATATAAATAATGTTTATCAAGTCTTGATCTAAATGTGTTGTCACCTAAATATTTTTTCTCCATTAATATTAATATTTAAAATATCAAAAGTGTTGGATTGGTCAGGTGGAAGTATGTACAATTTATTTGGGTGAAGTTGTTTTTGGACACATGCTCATTTATGAACATGTGATTAATGATCGTATACTCACAGTTGCCTTTCTTTGTGTCAAGTCAGAAAGATCTCGGTTGATAGTGTCAGCGTGTACAGTGTGCATTAAGGCAGATGTTGGATCACATTGAAATAAGTTACTCTGATTATGATGAAACGATTTCCACACTCTATAATCTCAGTTTTTGAAGAGTTTAAATTGTGTTGATGGTTGCCCTGAACAGGTTATCACAATTTGTGTTCTGATTTCTGATTAGTTTGTAAAATGCAGACATATTCTTATCAATGGCTTATTCAGTGTCAGACTTTTTGGACAATGATGAACATTTGCCAGAATGTTATCACACCAGTAAGATGATAATTACGTTTGGAAGTGTCTACATATGCATGTGTACAGTGGGATATCATTAAATCATGATAGTATTGGATTAGAAACTGCCTAACTGTTTACAGAAGCTCAGTATCACTTAACGTGGGAAAGAATGTTTGAAAAGTCTAATGGAAGATAAGGTTTGAGAAGACTGTGCAAAGATTCAACTGTTTGGGCACACACAGGATCTGAAGGATTTGAGTTCAAAAGTTTTGGACCTGCAACTGAAGATTAGCATTCTGCGAACTTTGTTTTGGTACTTAGCACAAAATGTAGACTTGCACAAGTCTCTAAGGTAAAAATAATGGTTTAAGTGATAATTTCTAAAAATAATATGTACTGTTCGCCTCTTTTAGGGATAGAATTACTATACATCCATGAGCTCAACATTCAGTACAGCCTTGGAGCAAGGCTACACAAAATGTTGCTGTTGGTTTTTCTGACTGACTGACTTTAATGGTTGATACATGTACAGAAGCACCTTCAATTAAACTGGTAAACAATACTTCATAGCCTTGACTTGTTTATCCAGACATATGTTTAGCTGTCAATTTCACTGGGAACTGTACAGTCTGGATAATCAGGTTTCTTCCTTAAGCGGCACTTAGAAGCTGGTATGATGAAGTGGAACACTTTTTATAGATAGACAGGATAATCAGGGTTTCGCTGTGCAATATTTTTGTGTTTTTACGTGAAAAATTTATCAATATGTCATACTCTTTTGAAAACAACTTAGCAAAATGTATTCAGAAGATGAACACAGCGAAATGTGTTCAGAAGACATAAATGGTTTAAACCCGAGACTTGTAGTCTCAGAATGTAGAAGGTTGTAAATCGATGTCCTGCACTTAATGATCTTGAAAACAGACACACTGTTCCACAACATGGGACTTCATCACATTATACCATAACACGTTTTTGCTCTTTAAGCTCGAAGAAAAGGTGGAAAGCTTTAGAGTAACCTCCCTTTGAAGTCCCTTTGAAGATTGAGAAAAACAGATCTCTTTCAAGAGTCATCCATCATATCGGTGAATTGGCTTGTTATTCATATATTTGCTAGTCAAACACTTGCATAAGAAACACTCTTTCTGGTTACAAAATGCAAATTGGCCGAAATAAGGTAGTACATCCAATTACACTTGCTGTAAAATGTGGGATTATCAAAGGCATTTTGGAAAAAAACAAGAATCCAGCTGAAAAATTGGTTAAAAACAAATATTATTCCTGCTGCATGGGTTAGGGATGATGTAAATGTTGACCATGCTCAAGCTTTGGTCAAGTAATAAAAGACAGATACTTTGTTACGCTATCTAATTCTTTTAAGGAAAGATATAATAGATTATAGTCTGCTGAGTATGTACAGCTAAATGTAAAGACTGGAAAGAGTGAATATATTTGTTAGATGTGAGGCATTGCCATGAACAACTTCAGTGAAAAGTCAGTAAACCTTGTAACCGGAACTGGCATGAAATGGTTATGCTGAAGGGGTCATTGGCATGGGTATGTTTGACCTTTCCTGCCGTGAATTCTACACATTTTTACATCTTCCAAACATTGGTTGGAATATTCACCATTATTCAAGTTCACATGAGCAACCTTGTGCATATTCTCAAACCGTCCTTTATTCATTTATGTAGCATAAAATGTCAGCTAGAACTAAAACCTGGTGAAGCTAGGCCTAACAAAGGAGTATAAATAAATGTTATAGCACTCAGACCTACACAATTCTTGTACCGTTTCTACAGATTTCACTTGACATATATCAGGAATATAGGACAGTGTTTAAACAAAGTTAATACAAAAAGACGTTCAATGGGTCCTTGTCATAAGCCAAATGATGAAAGTTAAAGATTTGAATGGTCCTGAGATAATATACTACTCACATTAAGTTATAAACCATTCATTTCTTCATATTACTCAAGTTAGTCTGTCATTGCATGGCAGATTGAAAACTATAGTAACATGACAGAATCAGGTGGTCTTCAGTATTTTAGCAGAAAACCTCAAAGACCCAAGGACTCCCTTTAATTTCTAACGATGTATGGTGTTCTACATGAATTTAATGAAAAGCAAACCATTGATTACAGCTTGTTCAGCTTGACCTGATCAAGGGAATACTAATGTATTGTGTGACTGTGTCACAACTGGTTGGGTCTATTATTGTGAAGGGGTGTACCTTTGTCACCGTTTGACATCTCAATGTCAAGAAATCGTCAGCAATGTCCTAACTACTGGGACAGAAATATTGCAGTTGAACTTGAAATAGAAAAAGTGATAATTGAACTGGGTGTAGAGAGTGATAGCGAGAGTGAATCGGATTGTGAAAGTAACTGACATCTGTACTTTGTAAAGTTAGTAAACCAAAATATGACTGTATAAACAATTCAGTTAAAACATGAAATGACTGTTTTTTCAGAGTGTTGTTTTCCAGGACAAGTTCTGTAATGAATCCATGTATGCATGCTTCGCACGAACGCAACATTAATAACATTCTCTGCTCCCCTATTTAATGAAGGTAACTCGGCCTGCCGTTTGTGCCATTTGACCTCCCGGGTCATGCATTTGTAGAGTAGCTCAGGTCAAGCTGAACAAGCTGTAAGTAGTTTACGTTAAATAATGGTCAGTACAGATCAATTATTTGTGTTTGTTGCTGAAGACTGATTGTTTTGTCTTTCCTATTTATGTGTCCTGTTTGCAAAGCAGGCATAGTACTAAGATCATCACAGCACTAAGATGACTTTGTAGCATACACTTAACTTCCAGCTTTCTATGTCAGATGATAGAATGGTCCCGTAAGTTATCAGAACAATTTGATGTCTCATACCTCTCGAATCTTTATTCAGTTTGGTGTTGCATGTTGTACATTTTGATATCAGCAGATGCATCCTTGCTCTGTTTGGTTCTTCTTCTAATACAGAGATGGCAACCATTGTGGTATGGAGGGAACCATTCCTATAGTTTGAACCAAATTACACTGACATGATAAGATATGAAACATGAATAATTTTTTAAAGTTACAAATTTAGAATTTCAGTATTCCTAATTGTCTCAGTTTCAGGTTGGCATCGCTGCTAATGTTGCTTGCAATTAATATATCAGTGTTGCTCTGCACAATCTTCGACATGATTCACTTATGACGCCAAAATTGTACTTTTGATCCCTTGCAGCCTTCACCAATCACATACTACAGATGATAAGGTTAACCAATTGTATTTGAAGAGAAATACAAGCCATTGATTGGTGGGATGCCAGTAACAGTTACACATGCACAAATACTGTACAGCTAAGTGTTGCTACTTGATAGTATCCACCAATCATGTGCTAGTGGCAGTAAGGGTCAGAATTGCCCTAGAAATACAAGTCGTTGATTGGTGGGTTGCTGGTATTACAGTCACACATGCACCAGTACCATACAGCTAAGTGTCACTACTTCATTACATCTGTCTGTGATGGATGTATATTGCATCGGTTTGCCAACACGCATCCTTCATTATCGCATGTATTATATCACCAATCTGTCACAATAAAAATGCTGGACTGATTCACCTGTATTGCCTTGTTTGGGATGGGACATCACCATACCAATCCCTCATCACTAACTTTGAAAAGAGTTTCATGACCTTGAACTTGAAATCAATAGCCAATGAATATGTTTCTTCTGAACCCAGGTTCTTCATTGAAAATTGCAGCCTAATACAAACAAGCCCCTGTATTGAAATGAAACTTATTAATTAAATTTTAACTTTAAAAGGTTTGTATTCTGAGTACTTACGATGATCTCCTGCTAAAAGATGGTAAAAGAAATAAGGTAAGTGTGCTATAACTGCTATAACTGCTGGTGTGCTATAACACTGTAATAGTGCTATAACTGCTTGTTACAATTTGATTGGACAGTTAGTTTAAACATTGCATCATTTAAATCTGGTTTAAAATGAAGCTGTGTTGGTGAATAGGTCCGGCATGTGTATTATAGAATGGAGATACAAAACACTGGATAATCAAGCATGAACATTGTGTTGCATCACAGCTACTCAATCTAAGCTACAAAGTATCATATGTACAAGTAAACATTGAAAAAACTTTAGAACGCCATCTTTTGCTCGTAACTCTTATCCTATTTGGGTAGAATGAAATTGATCTGATGTAAATGTTGAATACCGCCTATTCAAGAGTTTTGTGTGTCAAATAGGGCTAAAGTAAGAGACGTAATGATAAACTTCTTGGTCAGGGAAAAATCTTTACAACGCCATTCAAATGACTGCTAGAGCCATCAACTCCATATTGTTTTCAATGGAAAATTCCTATAAGAATTTATACTAACTAGGCAAAATTAGGATTACAAGTTCAGATTCAGAGTGAGGTTGTTTTGAGACTTCCTTTGGCAATGTTCCAGCAATATCACAGGAGACAACACCAGGAATGGACACACATTATACCCATGAGGGGAATCAAACCTGGACCTTCAGCAGGAAGAACAACACTTTAACTGCTAGGCTAGCACACTGCCCTGCAGAATCTGAACATTCAAGCCTCATAAAGTTTTATGTACTTGCATCTAAGGCACATAAAAGGAAACAGTTCAAAGCAAAACCAAATACTAGTATATAGAAAAAGGCTTTGTTATATAAAATAATGAACATAATAAAAAAGTTCGTCTTTGGGATTTAATCACTAGGAATGGATGCTCACCTATTTCTTATCAAAATGAATGCATAATGGTCAGCAAAAAATGTATAAAATAAACAAATAGTATCCATGCTCCCTAAAATACATCAGAAATTTGTAGGGATTCTCCTAGATGCAACTTTGTGTATGTTTGTTCGACAGGATAAGAGTTACGGGCAGATGGTACTGTTGCTATGCACAAATCACTGAAGGACATATGGGGCATCCACCCATGTCTGGAGGGACTACATGATAAAAAATAAATTTGAAATCAGAATAACAGACAAAGTGGGAGAGGATTGCACTGTTGTCTGCTCACGTACCGAGGTCATGTGACAAGCATTGCGAGTGCAACGTGAATATGTGTTTTTTACATGTGCGTCTAGATGGAAACATTTGCATGTGGTGACCAGCACCATAGAGATTTGTTGGCTGGAAAAACATCCTAAGCATGTATCAACAATTGCAATAAAAATCAACATTCATACACATGTAAACCAAGAAACATTGCTTATGCTTTACCACTGAGATGTCGACCTGAGAATGGTTGTTACTGTACTAAAGATAATTGGAAAGTCCTAAGCCGTAGAAATGCTATAACACTGTCACTTTTTCATTGGGGGTATTGTGTTCATCCTCGGAATTTTCCTCCACAAACAGTGGAGCAGACAGAGCTGCTATTCCTGGCTGATTCACGATGCCAGAAACAATACTGTAGTTCCGACAGTTCTTCTGTTTCCGACTTTCCAAGAAATTATCAACCCTCTTCTTGACCATCTGCAGGATGGCCAAACAGACGTAAAGTCCTGGCATAGTGAACATAACCCATATTGGAATCGTAGAGGCCCTATCAGCATCTGGTTGAGGAAGAGAAAATCGTAGAGCAGCTAAAACAATCAGGCAGTTCATGCTGGACGTCTCCAGTGCTATTGTTTTGATGAAGCGGACTTTCTGCCGACATGCCACGGAGAACACAAATCCAGTTGCACATCCACACACAGGAAGCAGAATTGCCCCCAGAACTGCGTAATTATCGATGCTGTCAAACACATACATATTTATGTAAACGCCTAATGTGATATAGAGAATGGTAGCAAGAAGCAACAGTGGTTTAATCAACCAGGTTAAAATGGCGTCTGCTATCACAGGCCGGAACCTGTTTATCACCAGTCCGAATGTGTAAGCAAAAAATGTTGAAGCCAACCAAATTTCGAAATTGTAAATTGGAATATTCTTTGTGGTCTTCTCTTCAGCTTCTTGTTGAAAGTATTGTCCAAGAACAAAAACCCATAATGGAGCCGTACCTGAAACAAACAAGGACAGAATGTAAATTATGTCAAAAGGTTTCATGTAGTTTCAGTGAAAGTTTCCATGTAGCTTCCTTAAATGTTGCGTGATGTATGTGGCTATTTGAGCAAGCCTGTCTTCCTTGCTGATCAAAGAAACATCATTCACAGATTTCCATGTAATGATCAATTTTCCCCAAAAGCCATCATTGGTGATATGCAGAAGACATTAAATGGGATATTGATCTACTAGAGCTGCTGTATGGGGTGGCTAAAGACTCGATAACCATACTTCATCTCAACATGCTTTTTGTGACTCGTTAAAGATTACACCAACATATTAGAGAGGAGTAGTTGTACTGCTAGCCCTTTCCAGTCAATACTATTTGCCTTCTACAGAAGCTATTAGGATTCCTGACTTGGAGAATGTTTGACCTATAGAGAGAAAATTAGGCTTGTTTGCAGCGAGCAATTTTGTTATTTGTAAGAACGTGATATATTGATTAAGTCTTGCTCGTTACAAGTTATGATACATCATATTTTTGGATCCTCCATGTGTCTAGTGATTAAAGAGGAAAAGACGTAACAGGATGATATCATCCAGAAGTTGGGTGCAGGTTGCTATTTTCTGTGAAGCAGCAATTAACACTGATGAAAAACAGGGAGCATGGTTCGTCAATCACAGGAAACAGATACTAACCAGTTTGTCTTTTGGAAAAAAGAATCTATTTTTTTTAAAAGCTGTGCAACATATTTCGGTAAATGGAGATTTCAAATGCTGAATTTTCAAAAGCATTAACAGGAAGCAAGTGAGTGAGTATAGTTTTATGCCACTTTTAGCAAAATTCCAGCAATATCATGGTGGGAAACAACGGAAATGAGCTTCACACACTGTACCCATGAGGGGAATTGAACTCGGGTCTTTGCCGTGACAAGCCAACACTTTAACTACTAAGCTACCCCATAACAGGAAGTAACAACAGTCAACAGAGGGGCCAACAAGCTATGAGGAATAATAAATTGTCCTGAGTTAAAGAATGATTGTCCCAAGCCTTTGGCTCAACTCAGAGACAATTTTAGGGAGAACATTTAAGTATGACATGTAAACTCAGCAGACATAAATCCATGAAGGCAGTCTTCACATGGTCCTGGTCATAATAATTCTGGGAAGACTGTAACAATGGGTGATATCATACCATATCTTCCTCAGCTATGAAGCCCTGTTATGTCCTATGGCTTCAGCTGACCAGGCAGATTCGACAAATGCACTTGTGTAAAAGTTACACACATTCGTTCTGTCCTTATGGGTGATATTCTTGAATAATCAACTGATCAGCTATTTGCCATCTGGGCCAGTAGAAACATAAAAGTAGTGGCCAGGATCAATTCCCATTAGTATCTGTCAGCTGGCCGGTGCATTTGTTGTTTCTTGTGGACCAACATGACTGGTTTAACAACATACCCAGTCTCCAGGCTGCAACAGCTACAGACATACCATCAGCATACAAACTAGGTGACCCAGGTAAAGGGAGTCTGTATTCAAGAACGTTACCATCTACAAATAATTATAAGGCCAGACCAATTTTATTTCTTGTTTTACGGATCCGCCGGTCATATTTTTTCAAGAATAAGAAATAAAAAAAAGAATTTCCCTGCTCAAAAAATAAAATGTTAATATTTTTATTGGCCAAAAAAGTAAATTGTTTTTTTTGCCCCATATACACTTCATAAATTGCCAAAAGTAAAATACTTTTAGTATTTAAAAGGAATATTACTCTGACTGGTGATTTTTATTATTTATTTTTTTCCCTCCTGCCTTTAGGAGGTTTTTTTCAACAAAAGTCCATAAACAAGAAATAAAATTGGTCTGGCCTAAGCAGAACATTTTGTCCTGTTAGAAGGGTTGTGGAATATTTTGGAAGCAGAGCTACAGTATAGTAGTATGGATTATGGGACTGCTGATTAATGACCTCACTAATGATAAATAATACTACAGATGAAGTAACTTTGACTAATTTGTGTGTCATAAGTCCAAAAAAGGCCAACATATTTCTTGTCATCGGTCCAAAAGGAGACAGCATATTTCCCTTCACTTGTCATATTGGCATATTTATATATGAATTACTCAGTGGAATTTGATATTTAGCAAAAGCAGTTGCTTTCGGTCTTTAGCAATTTGACAATTACAAGTCTGTTTCGGTAAATCCATACTTATCTTCACCACAGTGTATGATATTATTTAGGACACAACTTTCATATTGATAATCAGTCATAAAAAAATATAATCAATTTGTTTTAGCTGTAACAATAAAGATAATGGAAATTATAGATCAACCATAGTATGACACATCAGTCAATAAGCATTAATAGAGCCATGAAACCTGCCTCACATCATTGTATTGTCCCCATTTCCTATAAGAAAATTGTTTTATGTGTTGCTTCTGTCTTTGCTTGAAAAAATATCCGCAATACATAACCCTACCAAATATTCATGCTTCTTATCAAGTGCTTCTCATCAGTTAGTGCTGAATGTAAACAAGAAATACTGTTTATCCAACATTGAAAAAATATAGATGAAAATATAATAATTAATTTTTGGCTTGAAAGTAGAAATTAAAACAAAAATTGGTTGCTGCGCTTCCTCGAAATACTTTCGTAATAGATTATACAAAAAATAGGTAGGATCTGCACCAAGACATTCTCAGTATTTCAAAGTTTCAATGAACTTAGTTACAATGAGCTTGTGATCCTAGTGACTGATCTTATTATATAGATCTGAGCACCAAGGTTTATTAGCAGGACACTGTCTGTCCTGATGTGGCTGACCCTCGCTGATGGAGCTGTGTTCATCACCCAGACATACAAAGTAGATGGAATTGGTCTGGTGGTCTCCCAACTTTCTCGCCTGATGTCCAGAACGCTGCCGTTCGTGAATATGCATGAGAGTTTCACGTGTGCAATTTTCTCTGCTGAAGTACAGCTTGAGTGGAAATTTGGCAAATGTGACGCTTCACATTATAAAGGAAGAGTTATTGGAAATGCAAATATGATGTAGAATATAAGTTTGAGCTTGTCAGGGAGAGAACATGGCTGAAGTGTAAACTGATTGCGAAATTATCTTCTTGCGTGTTGTGTATAAAAACTGCATACATCAACCTGAGGCTTCAAACCCTTCCTAGCAGCCTGCCAGTTACAGTAAATGTCCAGCCATTGGTATGTCGCAGCTGCCCAGGGCCCTGTCCCACAGAGCTATAAGATGATTGTAACTCCCATAGTTAAATACAGAGTAATGACAGTCACAGTGCTAAGTGGAACATGTTCTGGGGCCTTTCCAGTATGGGATTCTAATGCTTAGGCAGCCATAACTCCCATACTTCAACTTAGCCTTTCAATAGTCAAAGCTATAAGATCACTTCGGAGAAGTGTCTGAGACTTATATACAGGAAGACACGGGTTAGAATTGGTCTTCAGCAACCTGTGCCTGTCATAAGAGACAATTAACAGGATTGGGTAGTCAGGCTGGCTGACATGTACAGACTGTGTAGATTGATGGTCATGATGTTGATCAGTGGATTGTCTGGTTGACATTGGTTTATTTACAGAATGCTGGAATATTACAATGTTACGCAACAAATACACAAACAAATTGAAATGTCACCAAGTCTCATTTGACAGCAGCAAAGGGGAAACAGAAAATAAAGAGATATTAACAACTTGAGTCAGATTTGCCAGTGTGAAATCTGTCCTTGAATGTGATTCCACTATGTCTCAGCCCAACCCAGCAGCTGATGCTATATCCTCCACCAAACTGACTAATTGAATTCTGCTTGTTGCATTATATATATTCTATTCATATCCGTCAACACTTCATACTAATAGCTCTCTCTCTCACTCACTCTCTCTCTCATCTGAGTGTGGCCCTTTCCATATTCTCTACATCTAGACATTTGATAAAAACTCTTATCTTATTTCTCCTTCTCCTCCACATTCTTCTCAGACATCTTAACCTTCCTGTCATTTGGCCTTGGCCCACAAAACCCTGAAACATTCACTCCCATTCCTAATACTGGACTTGTCATTTCCTGATATTCCTGTGGAATTTGTCTATTGGGACTGACTCATTTGTCCGGATTTTAAAGCAGTCCGGATTAGACAACTTTTGTCCATTACCGTAGACACTGCCATGATGAGTTACCTCCCTTTCTTAAGGACAGCGGTAATTTTACTCAAAATGTATCTTCTAAACACTCAACTTCATACATGCCTGATCCCTCCATACTCTACCCGAATCATATGTTGAGACACCTGACCATACCATATAGTACACCCATGATCCCTCCATACATTCCTCCAAACATCCCTGTCCCATATGCATCTGTGTCACACTAAGAAGGGGCCCTACCTAGCATGAGATTATAATCCCATCCCTCCATCATGAAGACATGCCTGTCTGTGTGAGGTACCACCTAGTCTGTGTGAACTACCACAACACAATGGGCCCTACCTAACAAGAGATCTTGTCAGCAGCTTCAGACAGTTCTAGCCTATGACTGACTGACTGACTGAGTTTGGTTTTACGCCGCTTTTAGCAATATTCCAGCAACATCACGACGGGGGACCCCAGAAATGGGCTTCACACATTTTACCAATGTGGGGATTCGAACCCGGGTCTTCGGCGTGACGAGCCAACGCTTTAACCACTAGGCTACCCCACCGTCCCCCAACCTATGGAGATCTCCAACCCTCCGATAGTTCCAGACTGTTATGATCTCCCGCCCTCCACCATTACTGAGTGAGTATAGTTTTACGCAGCTTTTAGCAATATTCCTGCAATATCACGGCGGGGGACACCAGAAATGGGCTTCACACATTGTACCCATGTGGGGACTCGAACCCAGATCTTCAGTGTGACAAGGGAATGCTTTAACCACTTGGCTACACACACCCCCACCCCCCTCCACCATGAAGACATGCTTGCCTGTGTAAGGTACTGTAGCAAGGGGTCCTAACCGGTGAAC